CCCCCCCCCCCCCCCCCCAAATAATCCTGGACCCTAGCCTAGGTTCTGGACCTACTCCTTCCCTAGGGTTTCATTGCCTCTATAGCCAATCCTGCTGAGATACACTATTCCCAGGCAAAGTCCACTCAAAGCCACACCCGTATCACATTCTACACAGGGATTTCCAGATCACCCACACTTGCTTTGAACATCCCAGTCCTAGTCTAGGTTTCTGGCCTACTTCTACCCTGGGATTATAGCACCCTGAGACCCCCAAAACCATGAGGCCCCGCCTCCTGTGCCTCTGCAACCAATCCCTGGCTGACTGCTGGTCCCACCCCATGCCAAGGTGCGGCCTATCCAGATCTCTAAACTGAATCCCAGGCTCCTCCTGTGCAAAGCACCGCCCTAGCCCCACCCCTTTGCTGCTTTTCTGGTTGTTTCTTCCTGATGTGTGTGTGGGAGGGCAGGGGTGGCCTCTTCCTGCAGTGATATCCTCCCTGCTGCCTCCCCTCACCCCTGCACCAGGTGGCCCTGCTGCAACTGATGGGGACACAAGAGCTCACAGGGCAGGAAGACACCCTACAGTTGCACCAGCTGAAGATGAAGTGAGTGCCTCTTCCCAGTGGGCTGGCCATACTAGATTTGCACATGGTCCAGGTGCACACTCCCAGCCAAGTATGCCCTAGGGCTGGCACTGTCAGACCCTACGGGTGTGCACACTGGAGTTCACACCTGGTGGTTCCCAGACACACAGCACATTCCCCTAGTGCACACCCCCATTTCCATACCAGACTCACTATTCATTTCTGGGACAGCTGCACATCTCAGACACACCAATCCCACTCATGTGGCTGGACTTACAGCTTGGACACGGTCACCCAGACCCCACCAAGGACAAACCTCCACATTCCTGCCCTCACCTCCCAAACACACCCCATCGACGTGTGCCACAGTCACACTGTACACCCTCCTGATGGCACCCACCCACCCAAGATGGCCTTTTCTCTCTGCCCACTGAGACCTGCAGGCCCAGCCCTGATCCCAGGCACCCAAATGGCCCTCCTGGCTCCTAAGGCCACCTAGAAGCTTGGTGGTGGGCAGGAGGGCCCAGGGCTTGCCACAGCCCCCTCAGAGCTGTGCAGTGGAGGCTAACTTGCCCCATCTGGGTTTTATTTATAGTTCCCATCCACTTTTATAGGGTAATTAAAACCATGGAAGCCATCAGCGAGGTTCTCCAGGACCTCAGGTTTGATGCAGAATCTGCTGAGTGATGGTGACTCCCCAGGGACCCGCTGAGGGAGATGGGAAATGAGTCAGGCGGCGCCCAGCTCTGACTGCTAGCTGGATAGGGTTGAACCTCACTGGGCTGTTGACCCTCCGTGAGGTCACCACACCTCCCACAATAAAGAAACCTTCATCTGCAACTGCTCTACTGTCTCTGCATCTTGGAGTGCTGGGTATGTGTACCTATTGAGGGGGCCCACAAGGGCAGGAAGGGAGGGTGGAAGACTCCCCCAAGACTGATGAAACTCTGGTGTTTTCAATCACATTCTCCAAGGAGTGTAGAACCAGATAGTTCCAATCCTGGGGAGAAAGAATCTGAAATTCTGGGAGAATTTCAATTGCAAAGGGTCATTAGAAGTCCTCATGCCTCCCCTACAGTCCCCACCCCAGGCCTCTGTAGCTCCAAACTCACCTTCACAATCAGGGAACCAAAATAGCTCGTTTATTTAAAAAGATTCTTTGGAAAGGTTCTGGTGAGGGAATTAATAACTCCTCTTTACCCTCAGCCCTGGTAGGGGTCCTGGGCAGCTTGGCCAACCTTCACACACACACACACCACTGGGTGCACCCAAGGGTGGCCTCACATGGAGGCCAGAGATGTGATCCTTGAAGCTCAGAGCGTCCACTCCAGCTCCTGCCAAGGGTGCCCGGGCACCGTGAGGTGAGGGTACAGAGGTGGCCCAGTCTGGTTGCAGTCCTGGGTCTCCACGAAGCAGGGAGGGCAGCCTCCAGCCCCTAGAGCTTATCTGGCAGGACCTGCAGGCAGAGGTGAAGCCAGACTAAGCAGAGAATCCTACCAGGTGTCAGCACTTCATAGCAATTTAGGAGCCCCCTTTACCCCCCACCCCCACCCCCCCTCCCACTCAGGTCCTGGCCGGCCCTTCCACTTTCAGCTGGGTGACTGAGCAGGGTACTGCCTCTCCCTGGGCCTTGGTTCCCCATCTAACAAGTAAGAATATCTATCTATCCCAGGGGGGGAATGTTCTGCAGATAAAGCCCTTGGCAAAGGCCCAGCATGCAGTAGGCGCTCAAACATGCTAACTTGGACCAGTATGTTCATTCATTCCTGAGGATGCCGTTCCACTTTGGACATTTCCAAGGAGTTGGGTGCTTACTAGATTAAAAGCCACAGGGTCAGGCACATTTGATGCTAAGTAAATGCTGATAAATAAAACAAGAATGGCCCTAACCGGTTTGGCTCAGTGGATAGAGCGTCAGCCTGCGGACTGAAGGGTCTCGGGTTCGATTCCGGTCAAGGGCATGTACCTTGGTTGCGGGCACATCCCCAATAGGGGGTGTGCAGGGGGCAGCTGATCGATGTTTCTCTCTCATCGATGTTTCTAACTCTCTATCCTTCTCCCTTCCTCTCTGTAAAAAATCAATAAAATATATTTTAAAAAAATAAAATAAAACAAGAATGAAAGTGGGGGTTCACAGCCTATTGGCCACCCCGAAGGCCCAAGTCTTCCTATAGCCCACCCACCTGGGCCCCCTTACCTCTCGCCGAGCTGCGTCTGCCCGAGGGCAGGATCCCCTCGTCCTGTGCTTGTAAGGAAGAAGGTGGTGTCGGGGGGCTGCGCACCCACCGCCCCACCCCACCCCTCGTCCCTTGCCCACGGGTCCCTCCTTCCTACCTGGTTTCGGGTCTTGTGCGACTTCTGCATCCAGGCTCTCCACTGGTCGTAGAGGCGGAAACTGAGGTTCGAGCAGAACGCGTGCTTCTTGAGGCAGCCCAGGACTGCTTGAGCTCGCGCCTCACGGGCCCCGAGCTCGGCTCTCCACCCCGCGGTTCGCACGCCCCGCCGCCCGGGCCCGGACGCTCTGTTGGGGATGAAGCGGCAGCGTTGGGGCGCGCCCGACAGAGGGCGCGCGCGGACAGTGGAGGGAGGGTCCCTGCGCGGTGGACCGCGTTCCCCTCGGGCACCTCCCCCCATTTCCCCGAGACCGCGTCCTCCCCACCGCCCAGTCCAGCTGCGCCCCTGAGGAGGTGGGGGGTAGGGGAAGGAAGGGGCTCCTCCTCCACATCTCCTCCAGGAACCCGATTCCTGTGGCCTGAGCCAGGTGTGAGTGGAAGGGGCTGGGGGAGAAGGTGAGAGGCCAAGGCCGGAGGGATGAGACGGAGCAGGGGGAAGAGAAAGGGAGAGAGATACAGAGGCAGAGACTGAGAGATGGGGACAAGGAGAGACAGGAGATGCAGGGAAGACCAAAGCCATGGGGGTCAGCCAAGGAGATTCAGAGGGAGGAGGAGGGGGTGAAGAAAGTGGGGGAACAGGGACACACAAAAAAAACACACAAGAAAGACAGAGGGGAAGAGAGTGACAGAATCCTAAGGAGACAGCCCCTGGGAGTATGAGCCAATGGGACCGGGAGCGGGTGGGAGGGCCAGGTGGGAGGCGCGCCTGCAGGTCCAGCTGCTGGACTCAGCCAGCCCTGAACAGGCCGGCGGATAAGGACATCGGCCTCACGTCATAAATAACACAGGGGACCCGCTGACAGGCCCTGGCACAGCCCAGGCCCCTGCTGGCCTCCCCCAGCCTCCCCAGCCTCCTCTGCAGACGCAGCCGCCTGCTGGCTCCCGTGCAAGAATCGCAGGTGCTGGGCACGAGCAGGGGCCAAGGCTCAGCCCCTCCCAGTCATGCTAGCTCCCGCCCATTCCAGAACCTGGAGGGCCCCACATTGGGGGCTGGGGAGCTGGCTGGAGCTAGGCTCTGCCCCTCCCTGGTTCTGAGACCCTCTCTGGGCCTTGGTTTCCCCACCATCCCAGGAGTGAGCATGGGCCGGTTTTTCCAGCAAAATGAGTTCAGATCCCTATATGACCTTGGGGGCTGGCTAAACCTACTGAGGCCAAAGTGTCCTCATCTGAGAAAAGGAGGCCTACCTTGGGGTGAAACCATGTGGGGAGCAGGGGAAGGGGGCCTTTGGTAGTGCTCACTATGAGGGCACTTTTCATGGGGTATCATCTCTCAGTAGTCTGTACAATAGTCTGAGATAGGAGTCATTACCATCCCCACTTTCCAGATGGGTAAAGCTGAAGCCAGACATTTCAAGTAACAGATTTCATATCATTTCACAAAGGAGAGAAAGGGGGTCCATGGGCTCAGAGGAACCCCAGATGGCAAGGGGAGCCAGACCCAGGCCCCTGATCATTCCCAGCCCCCTACCTGAGTCAGAAGGGGAAGCTGAGGCCCATCAGAGGGAGAGTTGGCAGCCCATCAGCCTTGGAAGCAAGGGTCTCAAACTCACTTACTTGCCCTTAGGAGCTGGGGAAGGGGGTACAGGTTGGTGAAATGGGCCAGTTGGGGATGAGGCAACTTGAAAGACAGGACCTGGCATGAAGGGGCAAGCCTTTGCTAATAGGGGCTGTGGAGCAATGCTGGCTGTGTCCTGTTACATTTTCTAGACAATTTTTCTAGGGAATATAGGATATTTTTGTTAAAACATCCTGTTTTTAAATGTCTGCAAGTAGATCCAAAAATTTGGGGGTATTTGTGTGTGCGTGTATGTTTTTTTGTTTTTCAAGTAACAGGTGAAAGAAAATAGATCCGGGGCCAAATTCAGCCCTGGGGTCACCAGTTTGAGACCTCTACTTTCCTGGAAAAACAAAACAAGAAAACAGAAGCCCAAGCCCAGGCTGGTTCAGGGCCGGTCCCATAACCACCCAACCATGTTGGGGTGCTCACCACTGCGGGGGGTGGAGGCAGCTGTAGGGTGGCTCCACTCGCTCCAGATCCCTGCCTTCTTGGAGCCGTAGATGCCAAAGGGGTTGCAACGCACTTGCACGAAGTAGACGGTGCCTGGCTTCAGGCCCGCCAGGCGGCAAGAGGTCTGATTGCTCACGTCGTCCACCACCTGGGCGGCAAGGGCAGGGTCAGAGGCCAGGGCAGGGGGCCAGGGCGGGGGCGGGGGCGGGGCCGGGGCGGGGCGGGGCCGGGGTGGACACCTTCCAATCCACACTATCCTCCACGCGGTAGCGGATCTGGTACTTGGCTTGGAAGAGGAAGTCCTTGAGGGCGGGCGGGGAAACCCAGCGCACGCTCAGCTGGTCCTCCAGGCCCCCAACTCGGCTCACGTGCACATCGGGCGGGGGATCGGTGGTCACTGGCAGGCGGGGTGGAACAGGGCTTAGTCATGGGCCCCTGGGACCTGCCTGGCCCCTGTCTGGGTTCAAATCCCAGAGCATGTGGCTTAGGTGGCACCTGCTTCCGTTCTCCTCCCCCTCCCACCCCCTCGAGGCTGGTGGATTACATTAGACAATATTCAGGAAACACTCAGCGCCTAGAAGCACTCAATTAATGTTAGCTGTTATCACCATTATTATCTGTGACAGGAGAAACATAATCCTATCTTCAGGGAATTCTGTAAAAGCAGATACTGCCTGGCCGATGATATTATTATTATTATTCCCAGGAGGCCAGGGGACCATCACCACACACCTCCAGCACCTTCCCACCTTACAAAGTCCTCAGTATGCTGGGTGCAGAGCGACAACGGAAGCTGAGAACATGCCCACCGCCGCTTCAAGACTGAAGGAAGCGAAGAGGGAAGGCTGGGGTGGGGGTGGCTCCAAGCCAGGATGGATCTGGGATCCTTCTGGGAGCCCTGTGGGAAGCAGGGAGAGCTGGCTCTCTCCCTGAGGCCTTGGTGAGGGGCCGAATGGGTTAAGACACAGGCCTGCTCGGGGCTGAGAAACACCCTAATTAGATTAAGCCCAATTCTGCTGCAGATCATCCATTTCCTGCCTCCTGCCTGCCCCCCCTCCACCCCAGCTCCAGACTGTGGCTTCCTGGGGTGCCTCAGACCTGGACAGCCCCTCCCAGCTGGGGAGTGAGGGCCCTCTGGCACACCTGGGCTTAGAGGAGGAGGGGGCAGGCCAGGTGTTCTCAGCAGAGTGGAACTATGCTGGCTGATTCAGGGGGCTAGAGACTGAAGGGTACTCCCTGTCCCAACCAGCAGGATTGGACCAGAGATGCAGCCATGACTGGGCTTGGAGTGGGGGGGGGGGGGGATCGGGAGGTGCCTCACCCACATCCAGGATGTCCAGTGTGAGCACATCTGAGCGGGCTGAGCCCAGCCTGTTGGTGGCTTCCACCCAGATCTCGTAGGGGGTGAAGAGAGCCAGGTCCTTGGGGATGTGGCAGGA